GAGCTCGACACCTTGAGCGCACGATGCATAGTGGCATAGATGCCTTGAGTTGAAACGATGGGTGGCAGCCAGTATAAACATCAGTAATTATGGCGAAGGGATCGGCCGAATAAACAAGTCTTGCTTGAACCGCACTTCAGAGCAAGGAGTGGTCTATATATCTGACTACACGGCCCTCTTGCCGAAGACTGAAGCCTTGCTGGAACGTTGGAGCAGCCAGCCGGCCCGCGCCCGAGCATACTCCTCTTGACGCCCAGAGCCCTAAACTCTAAGCCCTAAACCCTTGCTTTGTCAGACGTGGTCAACCGGCTTTGTTGAAATAGCTGGGGGGTTAGTTGGGGCTAGTAACTTTGTAGGTCCGGCCAATGGTCTGTGTGTGCAATGTTATAATGATAGTCACTGGAGTTGACCACAATTTGGGGCCAAACACGCCCGGATGCTGCTCGGAGCTCAGAGTGCGGGTGCCCTCGCTGTGTAACTATCTTACCCACAGAATGGTGCTTGGCACCCCGCAAGGGCTGGAGTGCAGTGCTAATTTGCTGCGTGGTGATACCGTGGTTGAGTGTAGCTGAGTAGTGCAAGGACTTTGTTGTATCCTACCCGTAAAGGTAAGTTCGGTGTTACGATGCATGTGCATTTATCCTATTGTTGAGCGCTGCTCCGATGGGGTTGCTCTGCTGGCCGAGGTTAGAAGGGTTGTAGGTTTATGGTGTATGGATTGGGCCACGGCAGTAAGCAACAGCCTCCGCCAAACTTGGCATTCGACCTAACTTAAACAGGCAGGTGGAAAAGAGGTGTCAAAAAAAAACCTCAACCCAAAGCCCTAAACTCTAAGCCCTAAACCCTCAACCCAAAGCCCTAAACTCTAAGCCCTAAACCCTCAACCCAAAGCCCTAAACTCTTAGCCCTAAACCCTCAACCCAAAACCCTACACTCTAAGCCCTAAGCCCAAACTCCAAAACCCCAGGGTTCAGGGTTTAGAGTTTAGGGTTTAGGGGCCTGAATGATTACCAATACTATTTTGGGTGGTTCCTTATGATAATTATTGTAGAAGGGGCCCCAACACCCTATTCTAATTATTAAGGCCCCTAAACCCTAAACCCCTATATGAGGGTTTAGGGTTCTTGAGTCCTCCCGGCTGAGGACAAGATCTCCATCTTGATTCTCGACGTCCTGTTCCCAGATGCCACCAAAAGCACGGTGCATGCGAACCTGGAGGAGAACCCTAAACCCCTCAAGCCCTAACCCCTAAACC